CTTATCAACAGAATATTCTTGACTATTATTACCGCATATTCTATACTGTGTTTGACTCGCATTCATGAGAATAAACTTCTCATTGATGTAAGGATTGGGTAAACATTTGTATGTTTTATTATACAGGTATTCAACACATTTAGTCAAACATTCAGTGGATTTATAATCGGACTCTAAAATAAAATTTTTTTTAATTAATCAAAATATTATTAGTAATTTACAAGACATACCATAAGTACATGACATCATGTAAGGAGTGGACAGTAAGTGAACGTTAGTTTTGCTTAACTCCAGGCGCCCATGGACTCCAACACTCGTTATCTTAACTGCAGTCTCTTTTGATGGTATTAATTGATTAGACATTTGATTCACAAATATATATAAACCAAAGTAGTCATCAGAAAACATGTTTCGTTTGTGGTTTGTGTTCATTGTATTAGATTTCTTGAAATTGGTTTCAAAATATCCATTTATAAGAGCCTTTCGTTGTGTTTCATAATTGATGTCAAACTCAATAAAGTCATCGTCAATGAGATACGGATTGTCGTGATTTGAATAGAAATACGTAAAACATATCCCAAAGTCCTTATTACCAGAAATAGTCTCCAAAACGGCATACCTTTGCGAGCAATCAGTCATTACTTGAGAACCAGTGCTTGAATTAGCCGTTGATTTGTGTCTTGTATGCAGTTTTGCGATACATTTAATCAATTCATAGGGCTTTATGTTAAACTTGTCATACAATTCATAAACTGATAGCTTGGTAATCATTTCTCTCACATAGGGTTTGTAAAATTGACTTGAGTAGTAATTCTTAGCGTAAGTCAAATCATTGCACAAACCTTTACTATCGTGTTTGAAAGTAGTTTTGCATTGTTTAACCAGGTCCATTGCTTTCTTTTCAGTCCATTGCTTGTACTCCTCGTATTTATGACTTATGTTAAAGTATGAATTAATTCTGGTTTTGTCAAAAAACACATCCCTTTCCGTACAGAAAGTGATCGGCGGTACGTCTAATCCATACGACCGCGTAATACTGAGTCTATAGGTATAGGGATAACACAAGTAGTCTTTTACGAGTCCCAGTACCGCATAGAAAAAAACACATCCCTTTCCGTACAGAAAGTGATCGGCGGTACGTCTAATCCATACGACCGCGTAATACTGAGTCTATAGGTATAGGGATAACACAAGTAGTCTTTTACGAGTCCCAGTACCGCATAGATTAACAGTAAAAATCCCAATACTTTTGCAATGAATTTAAAGTATGAGATGAATACAGAGATCAAATTAATAACCTTTGCACAAAACATTGTGACTATAGTTTTTTGAAGTAACTTTAATACATTTAAAAAATTTACTTTATATACTGGCCATTATATCATTTCATGTTTTAATAAAATAATAAGTTTTTTGAAAATATATTATTGCTTTTATATTATTGTAATAGCTTGTTGCTTGTACAGGTAGATTAATTATAATGCAAAATAATAAATAGGATAAAATGACACAAACAAGTCTCAAATGTCATTTCTATGGCAATAAATATTGTTTTAATATAGTCTACAAAAACATAATTAAAATGATATTTAAGGCGGATTTCAATGTAATACAAGAATATTCTGTAATATATTTAATTTAGTAATAAACAATACCACCCTATTGCTAATTAGATATTGATTAATAGGCACAGTTAAGTTTTTATAGAAAATAATTTATCAATATTTTAATAATTAAATCAGATGTTTTTGTTAATACCCAATTGCACTAACTATACAGGTACAGTATTATAAATAAAATATGAATCTATTTCTTTGGCAATAAATTTGGTATAAGTTTTTATATTATTAAAATATTTCTAACTTATGTTGTAATATATTTTGTATTATTAATAGTAGTACTAACAAATGGTATTATTTTTTGAATAATTAAATAATTTTTAATAAACAAAGTACAGCATTATACTATTATAATAAATATGTTAATTATAAAATAAAAATTCTTTTGTAATATAACTTAATTTACATATAAAATAATTCTGGTTTTAATTAAATTGTAAATTATAATATGATGTAGTTATTATTATTGATTATAATATGTGATAATAAAATTCAATAACTATAAAATATATTTTAATAAAGTTTAGATAGTATATTAGTATAGTATAGTAGATAGTATAGTATACTTATTAGTATAATAAGTACTTTATTAAGGTATAGTGGTAGTATTACAGTAATTATGAAATTTGATCAACAGGTACAGTTAGAGTCCGAACTTTCTAGCGTTAAAATTATGAAACAATACTGATCAGTAAAATCCCTAATTCCTAATCCACAAATATAACTCATTAATTAATTGCCCCTTTAATCAAAATACCTTTATAATGAATGCTGACCCTTATTAATGACCTGACACATTTTTTGTGAAAGCTATATTAAAATAATTAGAGTTTTTACAGCAATAGGTGAACATATTATACGTAAACATAAAAAACATGAGAATTGAAAACAAAAACTGATACTAATAATAATACTAATTTTTGTATTATAAGTACAGGGTAGACTTTAATTAACGATACCATTTTGATTCTCGTTTATTTGAACACCCTGTATTATTTTTAATTGATTCCTTCACCAAATTATAGAAGAATAGTTAGGATTTTGTTTGATATATAACATTTTAACTTTAATATATTTTCTAATTAATGTTTCGGCAACAAAGTGAATCTTATTATCATGGTGATTTTAAAGAATAAATGTTTTAAATGTTCATTAAATACCGTATTTCCGCGCAAACACCGGCATTCCGTTATATGTGAGGCATATATTTATGAATGATCATGCATATGGACGAACCATAGGAATATTAGTAAAAATCTTAGTTATATTTATATGTTTTTCTAGCACTAAACTATTTTTACAATGAAACTAAACAATAAAATATTAAAATTAACGAGATATTTGGGTTAAATTTATTTTTAACGTCTTTAAATATCAAAATATTAGTAATTTTTAAAATATTAAATAACAAATTTTAGACCTCACTTATTACGGCATGCCGGTATACCCCGGGGTATAACGGCAGTATCATCAGACTCACTTTATACCGGCATGCCGGTGTTTGCACGGGAATACGGTAAATATCAAACTTTTTTTTAAATTAACAAATTTACATTTTATAGAGATAACAAAGCAAATAAAAACAAAAGTTGAATATTTTAATTATTAAAAAACTTAAATATTTAAAAAATCTAATTAAATGCAACAACATGAATCTTATTATCATGGTGATTGTGATTGGCTTTATTTTTGAGATGACCCCAACATTTAGCTTTGAATATCCAAATGAATATGAATTTTCCAAATAATCCAAACCATATGCCAAACAGCCCTCCCGTGTATATTATATCCGAGAAACACACCACCGGTTCCTCCCGATAGACAATCATTGGTTGATTCGAGTCCCAAACCAAAGACTTTTCTGAATACGGGTGTTCAAGATCTGGCATGTACCAAAATTCATTGCCAATTTGTGTATCACTTGACACAACTCGTGAGTTGTAATCAATGTTTAGGCAATCATTTGGACAGTATTTGTGACACTGTTTTGCAATCCATTTCATTCGACTATTCATTTCATTATTCGTAACATTATAGACACAAATATGTCTGATATAATCGCCAAAATCCAATTCATGCAAATAGTTGTTTATTGTTAATGGAATACACCCGGATGTTTGGCGTAAATAGTATCTCTTACACTTTCTCATACAATTCGTATGAGATATGGCACCGAATGGCTGTCCACTACCACTACTATAGTCATAATAACTACACGTGCCGTAGGGTTCAGATAAATAGCGTCTCAAAACTTTACTCAAAATGATTGTGTGATTAAAACCTGTCAATGACTGGGAATTTAATAAGTCGTCCAAATCGGGAACGGTATCCGAGTGAAAGTGTATGCTAGGCATAAACACGTTACTACCTAGCCTGATAGTTAAAAATTGATCATCATAAGTGTCCACGAGTGAATTCATATTTGGTATAGTAATGTACTGTTGCCAACTTTCCCAGGTCTGTGTAAAACTGTATTTTACTGACTCAGATGTGAGACTCTTAAACTCATTGCCTATAAAAATCCTACTTTTGTTAAAGTGATTGTAAAATACAGAATCGGTTTTGGTTTCGCATATTTTAAGGTAACAGGATTTAGTGTCAAATGGCTCGGGATGTAGTAATTGGCCATTACTTAGTGAAAATGTAACAGCCGGGTAGTGTCTGTCCTTTGAATTGCTTAGTACTTCAATGCTAATGACTGACTGATAGCTTAAATAACTCATGTATATTTGGTATAGCTGGTATGCAAATATTACCGTTACAAGTCCGGTTACGGTATACTAAAATAAAAATAAAATAATTTGTAAATTAGTTATAAATATATTTAATTATATTTAGCATACCTTAATAATACAAATGCATTTATTTTGCGATATCCTCTCAACAAATGATTTCTTGTTTTTGACATTTAATGCAAAGAAACAAATATATCGGAAAAGACCGCCAAATACGCCAATAATACGGATCCCATGCCATAGACATAATATGTTTGCGATATTCATGAGTAGTCCAAGTAATGTATTTTTCGCGAAATAATTTATATTAACATAGAAGTCATCATTGAATTGAATTTTTGTGATCATATCAGTTGGTAGTGACAGTCCATTAATTGTGGATTCAATAGGTTTATATCCGTATGTAGTCCTAATACATGGGACTGGACATTTCGTAAGGCAGTACGTGCTCAATCTATAATTAGCACCATTGCCATTGTTTATATATGCATCCCGACAAAATGTTTCATCTGGTTCATAATAGTGATCGTGTAGCTGAATTGTTAACAAGCTATTATACTTGGGAATACATCCAAAATGATTATAATATGACCGTTGATAGCATTTATTCAGACAGTAAGATTGTGTATCATTTTCATTGTAATCATAGCACTGCGTGTCGTATGGTTTGGGTAAACGTTTGAATACATTCCGGGTTAGTTTTATTATTAAGCCATTATTTTCCTGATTTATAGGGCCAGTGTACTCATAGACATTGTCAGTAATTTTCGGTAAAGACTTGTGTGAAGTAACAATGAATTTCTTTTTCATGAAATTAATCCTATTATACTTGCCATCCATTCCCCGATTCTCGACAAAAGTTATTAAATTATTGTTGTCCACAGAATAACTATTAACTTGATTACTCTGATTATTATGATCATCCATAGACCTTGACATAAATGTATGACATTTGCCAAAAGGTGATATACCCGATTCTCGACAAAAGTTATTAAATTATTGTTGTCCACAGAATAACTATTAACTTGATTACTCTGATTATTATGATCATCCATAGACCTTGACATAAATGTATGACATTTGCCAAAAGGTGATATAATTTTAATTTCTTTCCATACGTCCTGACACTTGTGTCCAGTTGTATGACAGGCAAATATTTTCGAGTAAAAGTTTAGCTCATTTTGTGTTGAGTTTATAAAATTATCATAACTTTTAAACTTAGTTTTACGGAATTCTTCATGATTACTAGCATTCAAATACTTATCCATGAATCCCTCAATAATATCCTTGTCCGTTTTCTTATTCAGGTGTAAGTGTTTAGTATAATAATCCAGGTAATAATTCTTAATCTTTTCATTGTAAGGTTCAGTTGAGTGTGTGTTAATTGTATTGCGATTTAAAACATTAGTTTCAAAGTATCTCCTAATGTATGGATCAAACAAAATGTCTTCAAACGTGTTATCATAGCATACAGTGATTGTAGGGATAGCCTGATAGCCAATGTTATTATCAATGCCCTTGTTATCAATGATCTCTAATGAGGTTTGAGTCATAAATTGCAGATAATTTTCAGTTAACATATAGATCTGTATCAATACTATTGGGGATATTATGACCACAATTATTTGTCTCAGGTAAAGTTTCTTAATCAATGCTTTAATTGACTCAAAAAAGTTTGTTACTTTCTCGCATATAAGACATTTCATACAAGATTTCATACTAGCCCTCACAGCACTGGTATTTATGAAAGCAAACATAGACCATATGCCAAACAGACTTCCCAGTTGTAGCATTATATCAAACAAACAATACTTTGGTTGTGAACGGTAATGAGTTTCTTGATGAATTTTATATTCAATTCTGAGTTTACTATCTCTTAAGCCTATAAATTCGGTGTTACCCAGCTCAAGTGACTGGTATACCTGGTCACAATTTCTGGTACACATACTTCTACAGTATTCCTTATCAACAGAATATTCTTGACTATTATTACCGCATATTCTATACTGTGTTTGACTCGCATTCATGAGAATAAACTTCTCATTGATGTAAGGATTGGGTAAACATTTGTATGTTTTATTATACAGGGATTCAACACATTTAGTCAAACATTCAGTGGATTTATAATCGGGCCCTAAATAAAAATTTTAAAAAATAATCAAAATATTATAAGTATTTTATAAAACATACCATAAGTACATGACATCATGTAAGGAGTGGACAGCAAGTGAACATTAGTTTTGCTTAACTCCAGGCTCCCATCGACTCCAACACTCGTTACCTTAATTGCAGTCTCTTTTGATGGCATTAATTGATTAGACATTTGATTCACAAATATATATAAACCAAAGTAGTCATCAGAAAACATGTTTCGTTTGTGGTTTGACCATCGACTCCAACACTCGTTACCTTAATTGCAGTCTCTTTTGATGGCATTAATTGATTAGACATTTGATTCACAAATATATATAAACCAAAGTAGTCATCAGAAAACATGTTTCGTTTGTGGTTTGGGTTCGTTGTATTAATCTTCTCGAAATTGGTTTCAAAATATCCATTTATAAGAGCCTTTCGTTGTGTTTCATAGTTAATGTCAAACTGAATGAAGTCGTTGTCAATGAGATACGGATTGTCGTGATTTGAATAGAAATACGTGAAACATATCCCAAAGTCCTTATTACCCGAAATCGTCTCCAAAACGGCATACCTTTGCGAGCAATCAGTCATTACTTGAGAACCAGTGCTTGAATTAGCCGTTGATTTGTGTCTTGTATGCAGTTTTGCCAAACATTTAATCAATTCATAGGGCTTTATGTTAAACTTGTCATACAATTCATACACTGATTGCTTAGTAATTATTTGTCTCGCATAGGGTTTGTAAAATTGATTTGAGTAGTAATTCTTAGCGTAAGTCAAATCATTGCACAAACCTTTACCATCGTGTTTGAAAGTAGTTTTGCATTGTTTAACCAGGTCCATTGATTCCTTTTCAGTCGATTGCTTGTACTCCTCGTATTCATGACTTATGTTAAAGTATGAATTAATTTTGGTTTTGTCAAAAAACACATCCCTTTCCGTACAGATAGTGATCGGCGGTACGTCTAATCCATACGACGGCTTAATACTGAGTCTATAGGTATAGGGATAACACAAGTAGTCTTTTACGAGTCCCAGTACGGTATAGATTAACAGTAAAAATGCCAATACTTTTGCAATGAATTTAAAGTATGAGATGAATACAGAGATACCATTAATAACCTTTGCACAAAACATTGTGACTATAGTTTTTTGAAGTAACTTTAATACATTTTAAAAATTTACTTTATATACTGGTCATTATATCATTTCATGTTTTAATAAAATAATAAGTTTTTGAAAATATATTATTGCTTTTATATTATTGTAATAACTTGTTGCTTGTACAGGTAGATTAATTATAATGCAAAATAATAAATAGGATAAAATGACACAAACACGTCTCAAATGTCATTTCTATGGCAATAAATATTGTTTTAATATAGTCTACAAAAACATAATTAAAATGCTATTTAAGGCGGATTTCAATGTAATACAAGAATATTCTGTAATATATTTAATTTAGTAATAAATAGTACCACCCTATTGCTAATTAGATATTGATTAATAGGCACAGTTAAGTTTTTATAAAGTTATAAAATAATTTATCAATATTTTACTAATTAAATCAGATTTTTTTCTAAATAACCCAATATACTAACTATACAGGTACAGTATTACATAAATAAAATATGAATCTATTTCTTTGGCAATAAATGTATTATAAGTTTTTATATTATTAAAATATTTCTAACTTATGTTGTAATATATTTTGTATTATTAATAGTAGTACTAACAAACAGTATTAGATTTTGAATAATTAAATAATTTTTAATAAACAAAATACAGCCTTATACTATTATAATAAATATGTTAATTCTTTTGTAATATAACTTAATTTACATATAAAATAATTCTGGTTTTAATTAAATTGTAAATTATAATATGTAATTATTATTATTGATTATAATATGGGATAATAAAATTCATTAACTATAAAATATATTTTAATAAAGTTTAGAAAGTAGATTATTAGTATAATAAGTACTGTATTAAGGTATAGTGATAGTATTACAGTTATTATGAAATTTGATCAACAGGTACAGTTAGAGTCCGAACTTTCTAGCGTTAAAATTATGAAACAATACTGATCAGTAAAATGCCCAATTCCTAATCCACAAATATAACTCATTAATTAATTGCCCCTTTAATCAAAATACCTTTATAATGAATGCTGACCCTTATTAATGACCCTACACACTTTTTGTGAAAGCTATATTCAAATAATCAGAGTTTTACAACAATAAGTGACCATATTATACGTAAACATAAAAAACATGAGAATTGAAAACAAAATCTGATACTAATAATAATACTAATAATAATAATACTAATTTTTGTATTATAAAGATATTCATGTTGTGTTTTGTAATATAGAGATGAATAATTAATAACGTTATTTATAATCTGTCGAATATTCTATAATATACATTTAGTTAAAAATAAGTCTAACTAGGCTATTGTGAAACTGCGGTACAGTACCCTATAAATCAATACAGAGTCTAGTCTGTAGATAATTAGTATTGATTATTAAACGTACAGGTAGATTAAGGTTATTATATCCAATATCTAATAAATGAGCATTCATTTTTAAAGTGCTTATAAAATTAAATTCTTTATTAATACAAATACTTTTTGACTTTTAATTTTCATCCAATTAATAAACAAGTAAATTATTTGATATATCTATTAAAAATACATTACATTTAACATGATACAGTAGTAGTTTATTAGTTTCAATAATTTATTGATAATAAATGTCATCCCCTTTGGCGTATAAGTCGCTGTAAAACTGGGGCTCATTATTATTACAACAATTCTGGTCAGACGTATGATTTTGTAGGTCTTTCCGATTCTTAACGCAAACACATATGAGCACCGATAGGATGAGCCCCGACAGCACTACCACCAGTGATAATAAAATAATTAATTCTGTGACCGGAATATACTGGTAGGAACTCCGGTTTGAATGCCTGTCCATTGCCGATATATTGTGGCCCAAAATAGCCGCACATATACCATAACTACTGACAGCACCAGCAGTCGGGAATGGCTGTTGATAGTCGTAAACCCTTTTATAGACCCTAACGTAGTCCACTAGAAGTGCCGGGCACTCCCAGTGCTCTGAATCGTTAGCATACAGGTGCTGACCAGGGAACAGATACCCTCCTACTCCCAGATGTATCTCCAGTTTGAAGGGTCGGTCGAAGGGCTGTCCCTTTTTAGCGTATATCGGGGCTAACATTCCGTTAATACTAAGCGAGTAGTGATTGATGTCATCAAAGAACCAATTGATGGCCGATTCGGTCCACTCTATGGCATAAGTATGAAAGTCTTGGAGCCGTGTGTGGGACTGGTATTCGTAGCCCTGTGGCCGAAACTCCGGCGGGTCTCCAAAATGGACGCCAACCCCCAGCGCCGGTGTCTGTCCGTTGGTCATCACATATATGGCGCCACCGATGGCCCAGTACTCGGGTCGGAAGGGGATCATAGTTAGGGCTGACCTCAACATTTTGCCGGCCGGTAGGGCAGCCCTGATCTCGAACCGGCCATAAGTCCAGCTCTGTTTGCTGATGATCTTGGCTGAGGTGTACTGTTTGTGGAGTCGGACCTCCCGTTCCCGGGCGGCGATGATGGCCAGACATCCGTCCCGGAGCTGTAGGTTTTCCGTGCGATTTGTGTTGCAGCTTTTTTCGCCCACGTAATCACCTGGATATTAGTTTATTTAGATTATAGTTTAGGTATTTATTCCAGGAAAGGGTGGACATACCCCTACAGACCCCTTTACGCCACTCATTATCGACATCCCATTTGCTAACATCCAGTTCCTTGCCGTCAAACTCGTCACTCCATTGCAAACTATAATATGATTGACTTTTGACGTATGAAATGATAGAATAAAATGTTAATATTGTGAGCAAGTTCATCATTAATTACAATGAATATATAATAAATGTATAATAAATTAAGTAACTAGTTAGATATAATATTGAAATTAAGTAACAAGTTAGACATGTTTTCCTTACTAAATATTTGTATTTTTATTTTCCCACTATTGAGTATCATATGAACATTATCTACAATTTTGTCTAATGAAATTAGGTTCAAAATAGACTATACAATGGACTCATTTATAAAAACTATCCATTTCCTTATCATCAAATATTATCATAAAACTAACTTACATTTTCTTATGTTTGTAGCGCTATTACAGTACAAATAACAAACACTTTTTGTATTAAGGTTAATTTATTTTTTATAATTGAATATTTGGGACATGTTTAAATCACTTCATGGGATACTAAATAATAACATTGGTATATTTGTTAGATATTGATAGTAATCCAAGCATATACTGCTTATTATAATCCAATAATACTTGCAAACTATTGAATTCTTTGCATATATCGAATATTTTTCTTGAAATAAATGTTGTGTTAAATGTGATAAATATTTTTTAAAATTAATTTCTAAAATTTTAATTCAATAGCTATTGTCAGTAATGGAAAGAATAGGTGTGAAAAGGATTGGCTTTTATTGTTGGAAACTATTCATTATAAACCAATTCAAGGGATACGAGTTTTGCAATTATAGATTTTAATAGCATATCTGTGATAGAAAAGCAAATCCAGGATTTTAAAAAAATAATATTCAATGTTTTTATTTGAATCAAAAATTTATGGATTATGGATTGCATATAAATTTAACAATTTTTCATTGCTCTCGAGTAAATTATAAAGTTACAATGAAAATTCTTTAAATTCATATGCAATACATAATCCTGGGTTTACTTCATATCACAAATGATACCACAAATAAATAACTAAATATAATTACTTATTTATTTGAAATTACTTTATTTATAATATTCAACTAAAATGAATACGATCTGCAATATAATAATTTAATCATTAAGTTCAACATTATTGTTATTTATTTTTAAAAATGTATACATTTTCAGTAAACTAATATCATATAAAAAGTATCATTAATATTTTAAACGTTTATTTAAATTCAAAAATTATTTGATAAACAACTTAAATAAAGAAGGTAGTTTAAAAGTTTAACATTTACTTTTGAATTATTAATGCATTTGTGTATTTTCATAGATATCAAAATGTATTTAATGCATTAATTCTAGTATTTATTAAATATAAATAAAAATGTCTAAAATTATTAATTTGTCTCAACCCATACCTCCTGAACCGCATATAAGAGGTGCTAACAGTCATCTCTATTCAATTGGTTTATCACTATTTCAGCCACAATTCAGTCCTAAAAGACATTTAATGTTTCATCCATTTGTTGTTTTCATTATATTTGTCCAACAATTTATTAAAAGTTTAATAATAATTATTGTTCATTTACTTAACAAACAGTGTTTACAACTATTTTATACAATATTGGGTGATTTCGGGCGTATATTAGGCGTTTCATTGTTTTATAATATAACAGCCTTGATGATAAGTATTTCATGCATTTTATGTCAATTAGTAAATTACTATAACTATAGAAATGGTATAAAACCCACGGATTTGAGAGTATTTTATATGATTTCGGGTTTCATTTCTCCCAAAAGTATTGGTTTGTCTGATAAAGTAATTGTGTATAATTTGTGCAGGCAATACTATTATTTATTAAAATTTATAAACTTTCTAGTATATATAGCCGACTTTGCAGTATTTATATTGTTACTTTATTTGACAACCATAGAAAATATTATTTATCACACAATATTTATCACTATATTATTTACAATTTATTCTCATTATGTATTTACAATTAGTTTTTCCCAAGTTTTATATTATTATATAATTATTTATTATTTAAAATTCAAGATTAAATCAATCAATAATTATATTAATGACTATTTAAAGCATAGACTTAATAGCAAACATGTTATTCGGTTAACAATTGTACAGCAATTAAATAGCATTTATTTAGAAATCAATGAATATAATAATAATTATTGGTCTAAATATTTGTTAATTGTTTGGTTAACTTATGGCATAATTATTAGTTTCTCGGCCTATTTAATATTTTTTAGTTCAACTGATTTAATAAGTCGTTTTACAATAACATTGGGATCTTTATATTTCTCATCAATGCTCGTATTTATCATCAAAATCTCGTCCCAACTCTATATCGAAGCCAATAATACAACCATTTCTATAGTTATAGTAATTTAGTAATTGACATAAAATGCATGAAATACTGATCATCGAGGCTGTTTAATATTTTTTAGTTCAACTGATTTAATAAGTCGTTTTACAATAACATTGGGATCTTTATATTTCTCATCAATTCTCGTATTTATCATCAAAATCTCGTCCCAACTCTATATCGAAGCCAATAATACATACAAACTATTGAATTCTTTGCAATCATCAGGTGTTAAACGAGGTTTTCTAAAGTTTAAGGTACAGTATATTATAGTATTTTATTTTTAAAATGTAAATTATTAATTTTATATTTATTTTAGTTATTGTCATTAATCGAGAGAATAAGTGTGAAAAGGATTGGCTTTTATTGTTGGAAACTATTCATTATAAACCAATTCAAGGGATACGAGGTTTGAAATTATAGATTTGAATATTTTATAAGTTAATAATTTTTATTTTATTGATATAATTTGTTTTATATTTTAGATCGTATCACTCATAGTTATATTAATCTTAAAACTTTAGAAAATTAAAATATTATTTATATTTAACCAAATAATTTTATCAAATGTAGTAACTTATACTAATATACAAATATAGTATGAATTATATTGACTGACATTTAAGTTCTTACACACTTTATTCAGTCATTTGTAGATTTTTGCTACAAATTCAATTTCAATAAAAATAATCTTTTAAATTTCATAATTAAAAATTAAATTTAAAGAGTCAAATAATATTATTTAATATTACATTATAAATTATATTTTGTTTATATTTCCACAATTCTATAGCATATATTCTACAAATATTATTGTCGTAAGTATGTAATTACGTTTTGAAAATAATTTTAGTTTTATTTGATATTTCACAATTTTAATTTTAAATATTTATAATAAATATAAAAATATTTTACTTATTTAATAGTGCTTAAAGTAAAGTTAAAACGTAAACCTCGTATTATAACATATATAA